TACAAAAAGTCCGTACATGTCTCAGGTCGGGTTTTCTTAGGAGTCAGTGGTGACTAAAAATAAAGAGGGCTGGCGGTGACGAATCTCTTATCAGGATATGACATCCTCTTCCTAGATTCGTTTTGGTCTTTCAAAGCGTACCTGTTTGAGCCTTGGTTTGATGAAGTTTGATGAAGATGTGACTTCTTCTTCTCGTGTATCCCCAATTTCGATCACTCTGTGATGGCTGGGAGACATATGGGTCTAGTCGTGCGTCCGAGGCGTTGGTATTTACATTTTGTTTTGTAATGGCTTTGGGGCAGGATATATTGATACAAAATTTTTTTGGTACAAGTTTGGAAATGCCGTATTTTTTTAGTGCATGTAATAAACCTAGAGCAAGAGCAATGTATCCTAATATTTGCAGAGTACTAAGACCAACTTCCTGCCAAGATTTGAATCGTCTTTGGTTTTTTTGTTGGTTCTAACAGTAAGTCCATTTGATTTAAAGAAACCTTGTAATCGTTAAAATTCGAGGCCATTTTTGGCACTCGATTAATTTGATTTTCTAAAAGTTTTAGATCTTAATGAAGATTCTCTCTTCAATCGAACAGTGCGACTGTTCAGTATGATGTATTTAGAACAGCGAAGTAAAACTCACTAGGATGCGATTTGAAATTAATATATATATTGCCATAATAAAACGATACGAAAACTAAGGTAGCTATTACATTAAGATTTCTCACGCCGTGCACCGTCGCCGGAACAATCGCTCTCGCTTCCTCACTCGTGCACGCATTCCCGTATTGCCGGTAATCCCGCGATCTACTTACACGACCCCGCTTACGCACATAGGTACACCACAACTGTTGTGTATAAAGGTTGGTGGTGAATATGTAAGGAGAGAAACATAGATATGTTTCCTGTATTATGCGTAGAATCTAGCGCGGATACACACAGCGCGTGCCCTTCTCCTCACTATGGTTATGTCGACTGTCTGCCTGCGCCATCTCGCGTCTAACTTACGTACAGCGCCGCATCGCTCGAAAGAATTAGGCGCGTATAAATAAAAATTCAAAATCGAGTTTCTTACATCCTTCCACCTTGAGTCCTTGACTCAACGTGTTTGCGTTATTTATAGTTGCGCAGATATGAGACGGAAACGCATAACATAAAATAATACAGAAAATACATGTAAAAATGCATAAAATATATAAAATACCTAAGATACAAGAAGTACGCAAATCTTTCGGATCTAAGGTTTTGCGTATATCGTACAGATCCTACATTGATTGATGTTTTGCCGAACGTAGAAAAGGACAGAAGAGAAAAATAACACAGTCGCCGTTTGCGTATATTGTAAAGGTACAGTAAGACCCCGCTTAACGCGGGGGATACGTTCCAATAAGTTCCAGCGCTAAACGAAACAGCGTTAAACGAGGAATAGTCGTTGGAACCTTTATTTTGGACAGAGTAACAAAACAGTGTAGTGAAACAAAAATCATGTGCATCGTCGCTGCATAATGCACCGCTTATAGTTGTTGCATGCCGGCTTCTTTTGCACACATATACAAGTATCAATACCGTGTGCCATTTCGAGAAATCCAAATACAACCGCGTAATACTGAAACAGCGTTAAGCGGAGCAGCGTTAAGCGGGGTCTTACTGTACTAGGCCTAGGCACTTCTGAGCCATATTACGCCGCTGCGTACAGGCGCTAATCCCTCCCGCACGGGATTAGTCCTATCGCACCAAAGGACAGAAGAAAAAAAATATCACGGTCGCTGTTTACGTATATCGTAAAGGTGCTACATTTCGAGCGAAGGAAACCGAACGTAAACTAACAGTGACCTACTAGAAGGACACTCCTAATCCAAGAATAAAATTTTCTATTTTCGATTTTTTTTTTTGAAATTTTTTCCATCATATTTATAACATTTTTCTCATTAAAATGTGACCAGACACGATATACTTCGGGACATATTTACTTATAATTTCAAGTGTTACGCGTACATCGATGACTTTACTCTAATAAGATATTGCAAGTAAATAAAACTCAAATTACGTCGTGTTTGCACGTCGTGTTTGGTCTCACTTTAGTCAGGAAAATGTCATGAATATGATGGAAAAAGTTATATAAAAAAATAGATGAAAAATAAAAAAATTAGCAATGCTCAAGTATTGCAAACAATCGAACAGACTTTTGATCTTTGCCGACTGTCACGACTGCAGTGTCTCTGTCTTCTTCACTCGCTATCCTCCTTTTCGTTAGAAACTTTTATTGTCAATTAAACCAGTAAATATAGTCCAAATTATATCGTGTTTGGTCTCATTTTAATCAGGAAAATGTAAGAAAAATCAGGAAAGGACGAGCGAGATAGGAAGAAATAACGAATTATATGCAATTTAGCTATTGAATGTCTCGTTTATTTCTGTGATGTGTTGCCACGATCACAGACTGCACAAGAATGCCTCCTCGGCAAAACCCTGGCTGTGAGGACACCAACGTCACCATGGCCCTTAAAAACTATACATTGTATTCTAGACTCATAAACTTTCCCTTGCGCCCCGGACAGCCCTCTGACGAAGCGCACGTGGCTTACTCTCGTCCGATACATCTACCTAAACTCTAAATTTCTAACATTCGGCCATACTGACATTAGGTCTGTCCTCAGACCTCACAATTACTATCTCTTTTCCTTCAACTCAACACTCGTTACATTACATAAAACCAGTCCTTGATCAACAACATTATATCTGTGCTCTGCTCAACATTCCCAACGACACTAAGACATCATCATGTCCGTTCATTGTTTTTCCTTTTTTCCTTTTCTGACTCGTGACGACACTAAAACACCGTCGTGTCCGTTCATCGACACCTTTTAACATTCCTGACGGCACTAAGTCACCGTCGTGTCCGTTCACCGTCCATCTTTAACCCTTTCGCTTCGAACGCCGGATATATCCGGCATCCGCGCGACGACTTGTGCGTACGAGCGCCGGATATATCCGGCATCCACATGATGTGCATACAAGTACCATCTGTGGTCAATGACAAATTTTTCGTTATCGGCAGAATGTTTTGAACTGATTTTATTGATATATTCGATTAATCCAACATATCAAACACCAAAGAGTAAGTGTACTTTATTGATATATTCGATTAATCCAATATATCAATAAAGTACACCTATTCTTTGGTGTTATATCAAAACCACATCCAAAATATCTATCGGATCTTGCGGATTATATTCATTTTTCTACGAATACATATCGTGTTCTATAAGAATTAAGAATAGATCGGCTCAAGGTATTATTCTTTTTCTAAGAATAAAAAATTATAAATATGTAAATAGCTAAGAATTTGTCAACTGTAATTAATCTAATGTCTTTAGAGTAACTAATATAATTTTGTTTAACTGTTTTCATCTTAAAATGTGAGGAATACATACTATATTAGAGCAACAATTGTTTTATTAAGCATAGTAATTATTTAAGACTTAAAAAATGTATATACAAAAACCACGCGCACTGTGCACATTTCTGGCGCGTGCTTCCGTACGGTGACGACACTTCGGCGGACCGGACTGCCGAAGCGAAAGGGTTAACATTTCTGGCGGCACTAACCGTCGCACAGTGACGAAAAACGCCGAAAACGTGGACAAAAGTCAAAAAATGAAAATCGCAATTCTTGAAATCCGCTTAACGGAATTAGTTTATAAGGAATCTGTGCATACTGTTTTCACAGTTTTAATGACTTTATTACTACCATTTCGAAGATATGAGCCTCCAAAGTTGAACATTTTTTAAAGTCAATTTTTCCGGGTAAAGTTTAACATAATGCTGTTCATTATTTTTTAAATATTATGTTCATCCACTATTATCCGCTGTTTATATGATACTTTGACATTATAATTATGTAAGTTGCACAACGAAATGTTTATTTTTAACACTGATATGGAAAGACATATAAACCATAGTCATATTTAATGTTTGTGTAAGGTAAAAGTTGTGATCTTCACCTCGGTTCACCTACCAAATAGGCTTAA